GTACCATGTGACACACAAAAATCGATATTTAGCCTTTTTTTTAAATATTTAGCTTCAAATTAAGAAACTAACAAATGTATAATACTAAAATTTGAATTATAATCTACAATGTGATACCAAACTTATTCAAATATGTTTATAAAATAATAGCTAAATAAAATATTGAATGTAAATCTACAAATGTGATGACATGCCCTCACCTTTAAACCTGTCTCAATAGGGTTAAAGAATATTCCATTTTACAAATTGAATTTGTTCTTTCCATGTATTAACCCTCTATAAGAGCTTGGTCATTTTGATCAACTTTTAAACCACCACATAACCATGAAACTATACATATTGTAACTTTTAATGTAGTAAGTATAGTTTCACAAAATTTGACAAGGTTTTAGTAAATACTACAGATCTTTCTTTTTGTGTGTGTGTGTACAAAAATCAGAATTTCTTTAATTAAGTGCTTTTCTTAAGATTTTCCTATGAATTTATAAAGTCAGAATCTGACACTCTGACTATCCTAACTGGAAGGTGGTTTTCATGTTAACATTATACATTTGTTTCCTCCTACAATTTTTATATTTTATTTGCACAACATAGGACATCTTAAATGAATATGACATTTTTTTTAGTAAAACTTTACATTTTATCTACCATGTTACTCAGTCCACTTGACCAACCCTTTAAACACCATAAAAAAGTTTGAAATATATCTAAATTTCTCGTTTTTTTTTCTTTTTTTCTTTTTAGAATGGCTGCATATTGTAACAGAAACAAAATGTATAATGTTAACATTAAAATCACCTTCCACTTAGGGGAAATTAATTTATTACTTTTAAAATATTTTGTCTTTTACGTTTTATTATCTAACCGAATATATTTCTAAATATTATACTTTAGTTACTTTTATAACAATAAATAGATAAAATATGTACATAAAAAAGAAATTCAATACTCACATGCTGGTATTGTACTTTTTTGCAATTGAAAACTCAAAAGTGTTGATAAAAGTTAACTATAATTTTTGCTAGGGATGTTGTTACTTTATTGAATTTATTTATTTCAAATATTCTGTGTAGAACACAGTAATAACATTGCCAAAGCAACAATGTCCTATAACTACTATAATTTAACTGGCTTCCTAACTAAGCTATGAGTGCCTTAAATAATTCTCTTACATGGTCGAGCTGAACTCGGCAATAGCAACTTTCGATCTCTATGCAGAATATTTCAAAAGCTTCTGTGAAAATGAGCTAACGTTATACTTAAATCAGTAAATTCTAGTCTTCTCTTTCTATAAGTAATGTAATAACAAATGTCAGAGAGTAATATTAGCCTTTTTGGAAAAAATATGTGATATGAGGGCATGACTGGTTTGTTTCTAAGTAAAACAAGATGATTTCAAGCTATGAAGTGAGATTGTGTCTTAGAAATATTTGTAACTTGCATTCAAATTCACAAGCTTAAATAGGGATGGAAAGAGTACCTAATTTGTGCAATTCAGAGCACACAAGTGTCTTGTGATGAAGAAAAGTGAATATTGAAAATTTGTGTTATAATTTGATTTATTAACTATGTTTCGATGCCGAGTAAAAAGAGGTCATGATGTATGCACTTTTACTTACCCATATCCAGAGGGTTAGAGGTCAAAATATAATAATCACAGTGGTTAAAATCTATAATTCTGTGTATGCTTTTAATAATGTTTTTGTTATTTAAATAAAAGTGTGAACTCTATGCACTTTCATAAACAAATGGATAAACTGCCTTTGTGTGTATGTTCTGATAAAGTATTAAATAATTTAAGAATGTTATGACCCATTGCATTGAATCTTTGCATAAATAAACATTGATTCTTAATAAACAACCTGTTTTGTCTTTATTAAACAATAAATTAATAATATTTTTGTAATTTCAAATTTTACTATAGGTAATGATAAATTACAAGCATAAATCAGATTGTCATAGAAAGGTCTGGGAAGAGTCATGGAATTTGATTTTGCCAGAGGTGTGGAAAACATTTGAAGTATGTGTGTGAAATTCCATGGAAAGTTAGAAGGTCATGTTGGGGTAGAAGAAAATCTAAAATGGACAATTTTAAGCAAAGAAGCTCACTTGATACAGACATGTGATGATTGAGAATTTATTTAAATATTTCATTTTGAAATTAAGGAATTAAAACTTTTAATGTTAATATTTAAATTATAAACTAAATTTTGATGCCAAGTTTATTGATATACATTGATAACAGATGTGTAAATTTTGAATGTAACTGTAAAAAGATAGGTTTAAAGGAGATCAAAGATCAGGTATGCTTGTTTCTTGGTGTTATTTGTGGTAGATTAGTATACAGTGGGCAGGTGACTGAGGATTAGAGAACTACTGATGTTACTACTGTGTTTTTAAAGGGGATGATAAATTTTGGTCTGGAAATTATAGACCAGTTAGTTTTACTTCTGTAATGGGAAGAATTCTAGAAGCTGGTAAAAACTTTCCAAGCCATTAGTGAAATGTGATTTTATAAGAAAAATTAACATGGATTCACGAAAGGAAAAATCTTCATATCCTAATCTGTTAATTTTTTTTTTTTGGAGGGTATTACACTTTATGGATTATGGAAAGGGTGTGGATCTGGTGTGTTTGGATTTTCAAAAACCCTTTGGTAAGGTGCCACACAAAAGATTAGCTACGAAATCACATCAAGTGAAGGAAAGGCTAGTAATTGGACTGTAGGATGGTTGAATGAGAGAAAGTTAAAAGATGGTAATGGTGTCCAGTCAAACTGGACCCTTCTTGCTAGTGGAATGCCTCATCTGTCAGTGCTTGGTCTTATACTTTTTATTTTATTTGCATTAATGATATTGATATGGGCATAATGAGTAAATTATTAGTTTGTGGATGATATTATACTCTTTGATATGTTTAACTATATTTTAGGATATTGAAATACTAGAGAATAACTTTGTTCATTTGATATAAACATTGAACACTGGAAAACTAACTCATGCTAGATGCAATGTTTTGACTGAAAACTGTACTTAGTTTATTTAAAGATGATATTGACTTAAAGCAAACAATAGCCATTCAGAATAAGTGAAAATTACTGGTGTTGTGTTACATAAACAGAGATTTTGGTAACAAGGTAAACTTGTGCTGTTAGTTTGTAGTTATGTGCAATGTTTTAACCTTCTGTATCTGGGGAATTTAGTTTTATCATAATAATGGTTTGATCTCACTATTTAGATATGATATCTGTAATAAATTATTAAATAAAATGTTCACTATATAGTCATTTTAATAGTATTCAACAGGTCATCATGATTGCAAGACTGGTCATAAACATTGTATTTGCAAAAATGTTTGGACACAGACAAAAACTGTTTGTTTTTCACCATTGGCTGATAATTATTGTCCTGTAACAATATCGGTGGATGTTATTTTGGAAGCATAACTTTTGGTCCATGTGGCAGCCAGCTTTTGGGAGAAGGAGACAGAATTCTTTAATGCTCTACTTTGTTTTGATTGACATACAGTTGTAAATTTATTGATTAAGAATGTGAAAGAATTATCATAACTAAAACATAAATATGTGCTAGTGCAGTTTTTATATATTATTATCACTAAATATTTTGATAGAACCTAAGCAATTTAGCCTGAATTTTTAAAAAGTTTCAATTCACGTATCAATTACTAAGTACTCCAAAAGTATGAGGAAATGATTAATAAAAGAATTTGATATATTCCCATTTTTATATATATGAGCACGGGTGTGTATGTGTGTTTCTTTCTCTTTGGGTCTGTTCCTTATGCATGGCCACATCTTTAAAGCTACGAATCCAAACTCGGGGTACAGATACAACTTTGGGTGGGAAGTAAGATGGACTATGTGACCATGGCCTTAGAGGCTGCAAATTGAGGCCAAATTGACCAGTATAGCAATTTTTTGCAAATAGGACATCCAATTGGTCTCAAATGGAAAATGCTGGATTTTGTTGGTAATGTGTGATAAAGATGGCTATTATTTACATTTCTTCTCTATGTGAGGACTTCTAATCATTCTATCCATAATTAATTGTGTGTTAAAATGATTTATAAACTTTGTGAAGCCTTCATTTGTGCTCTTTCCCTTCCTCTTTCTTTCTTCTACACGTACATGCTTACCCTCTAACTCCCTTTAACTGAAAAGGGGGTGCTTTCTCTTGAACATGCATGCACACTCCCTCAATTAAATAAGCTTGCTTCAGCCATATGTTTTGCTTTGCTTGTGTGTACTTCCAAGAATCACTTATACGGTGACTTTCAAAAACATTTGGTATTGGCAAATTTTCATTTATGTTGTGCAGAGAGAAGATAATAAATCAATTCTTCATTAAATGGAATGATGATAAAGTCAGGGTATGTTGCAAACTACACTTGACCACACAGCAGAAATCAGGACACCAAAGGGTAGGAAATTTTGTTTTTGGAAACTTGAATTGTCATGCAAAGTACATGCAAGAAACAGGAGCAATGTACCTGTTTTTGCTTTGATTAAATAGCTTTAGCAAATTTTTTATATTTTTTTTTGTTCTCATGTCATTTATTTTAGTATTATTTACAGAAGTATT